CCGCCTTGGGCTGCTGCTTCCCTTGCAGGGCAGCACCTCATCACCGCCATCGCGGATCAGATGTTTGGATTCAAGACAACTTCATGGTGAGCGGGAAGGGGCGCCGTTTAGGGCCGTTTGCAGCCCGTTTGTCACAGCACGAGATGCTGAGCACAATAAATCCATAGGGTGGTTCAGGCTCCAGCATTTGCTTGAGCACAGAGGGCCTGGGAGAGGTGACTGAACTGCAGAGCAGCTCTGTGCAGCTCCTGCCCTGTCTGTTCCCTCTCCAGGTGCTCAGCACGAGGAGGAGGGAAGGGGGGTTTGGTTTTGTCACCTCGTTCCCGACAACCCCTCTTTGCGTGGCACACGCTGCGCAGAGGGATCTTCCTCAGCAGAGGTGCTTCCTCGTGCAGGGAGCTGGGCCGCCAGCGGAGTGTCATTGAGCTGGACACTCCCTCCGTGACAGCAGAGCAAATCGAGGCGCTGGAGAGGAGCGTGAACGAGAAGATCCGGGAGAGGATCCCCGTGACGGTGAGGGAACTGGCTGCAGACGACCCTGAAGTCGAAAGGGTGAGTAAAGGGGCAAAACGATGCGGGAGCAAAACACCTGCAGGCCCGGGCTCAGCGTGTCGGCTCGTTTTGCAGGTGAGGAGCCGGGGTTTGCCCGACGACCACGCGGGGCCCGTGCGGGTTGTGAGCATCGAAGGCATCGACGACAACATGTGCTGTGGGACCCACGTGTCCAACCTGAGCGACCTGCAGGTAGGAGCTGCACCCCGGCGCAGCCTGCAGTGAGGTCAGGTTCGCTGGCAGAGGGGCTCTTCACAGCAAGGCCGACAGTGGGAACTGTCCAGCTCTCTGAGTATAAGCAAAATACTGTTCTCCTTTTCTGACCAGGATGTTTTTCTTTTTTAAGGTTATTAAACTCCTTGGCACAGAAAAGGGAAAAAAGAACAAAATGAACTTGGTTTTCCTGGCAGGAAATAGAGTGCTGAAGTCAATCGAACAAAGTCATAGCACTGAGAAGGCTCTAACTTCACTGCTCAAGTAATATCCTTTCCACTTCCTTTCTTTCATCTTTGTTGTTTCTGCTGGCAAACATCACATGAGCCTAAGGCTACATCTGCCCAATGTTTCTAATGACACCTTATCTTCTTTTGCTGCTTTAATAGATCCTTTCTTTGTCCCTGTTGTTTCAGAAATGGACCGAGTGAGCACGTGGAGGCTGTGAAGAGGCTGCAGAGCTCTGTGAAGCAGCTTCAGAAGGTATGAGGGTAGCTGAGGAAAGCAGATCATGGTTGTGTCCTCTTGGCCTGAGCATCAGTCGTGACAGCAGAGGACAGAGCTCTAGACATCAATTCTTTTGATCCTCTGAAAACCGCTCCCGTCCCTGGGGACACAGCTTGGTCTCACACTGACTTCTCCACCCACAGTGCAGGTTATTTCCTTTTCTTCCAGAATAACTTGAACCTGCTCAGAGACATGGCTGTTTTGGTAGCTCGGGACTTCAAAAGCCAACCCGTTCGAAGTGAGCTGTTTGTGTTGCACAGGTACGTGGGAGGTCAGCGTGAGAGACGCGGCGTCTGTCCTGTTTTGTGGCAGCTGCATCCCTCTGACACCTGTTCATGCTTCCTTATGACAATTCTTGCTTAGAAGCCAAATATCCCTTAGGGAGGAATATAAATAAGGTAAATAGATTATTAAGCTACCTGCAGTGTGAGAAGATTTTGTAATTAAAAGACCATGTTAGTAGTTCAGCCACCTAATTCTTTTGTTTTTATAGCTAAGAAGTAATTGTGCTTATCTGATCTCTTTCTCTGATCTTTTTGTTTTCCAGTAAAACTGAAGAGTTCCATTTGTTAAAAATAACAACTTAAACAATTTCCAAACAAGCCCATAGGAATGTGCAATGAGGATTAAATATATAGATATCAAAATAACCTCCCTCCTAACAACAAGAGGCCAAAACCCCTGGCATGAGCATAGGCTGCTTGCACAGATTTTTAGCTTGCAGATTCTCTGATGGCAGAAGTTAGTAACAAATTTTACTCTTAAGAAAAACAACAAAAACTAGAAAACTAATAAAAAACAAGTTTGGGTAGTCACTGTGCATGATTTGCAATTGATGCTTGGGGCTCTATATGGGATTTTTGCCTTTCTCTGAAGTGGCCTTTTATCCATGCAGGAAAGAGGGTGACTCTGAATTTATGAACATCATCGCTAATGAGATCGGGACAGAGGTGAGTTACTTAGACTAAACTGATACCAGCAGCTTCCTCATCCACTTCATAGCACAGATAGGGACTGTCCAGGCTTCTGTTTGTGCAACAGCCACTAGCTCTCCAGAAGCTACACAGGGTTATCACCCCAGCAGTCTCAGCAGGCAGGAAATACTACAGTGAGAATTCGGAGCACTGTAGAAAAGCATGTCCCTGAAAAGCAGTATGGAACCACACCAGCTGTTTTAATTTAGGATTCCTCAGTCCTTCTGGCCCCCAAAAGATGTGATTCAGGTACAAAAACCCCAGCTCTACTTCCTTTTACTTTCTTCAAACTGAGTCTTGGTCTCAGTAGTGAGCAGCAGCCTGTAAATTGTTCGTGTGCCTGGACAGGACCTGTCAGGGTCTCTGTCCCCTTCCCGACGAGGAGGACGCTGCTGTGCAGTAGCCAGATGTGTCTCTGTCTGCAGGAAACGCTGCTGTTCCTCACTGTGGGGGATGAAAAAGAAGCAGGACTCTTCCTTCTGGCTGGGCCTGCTGAAGCGGTGGAGAAGTTAGGTCCCAGGTAACAAGCTCTGTGACTTCTTTAAGTTATTAGGAGTTCTAATGCAGCAAACAAGCAGCAGAGCAGTGCAGTGAGGGCCCGGATCCCTGTTTGCTCCCTGGGGCCGGCAGGGAAGCTGTCGAGCACTCGCTGTCGTTACCGCAGGGTGGCAGAGCTGCTGGAAGGGAAAGGCGCCGGGAAGCGCGGCCGATTCCAGGGAAAGGCCGCCCGGATGAGCCGGCGAGGAGAGGTGCAGACCCTGCTCCAGGACTTCATCCGCCACCGCAGCCCTGAGGCGTAAGAAACACCCCCAGAGCAGGGCTGTCCCCTGCTCTGTGTGAACTAACAACTTTCCTCACGGAGAATAAATACATAAAAATATCAGCTGTTGTGCGTATGCTCCGTGAGCAGATTTGGTGGTTGCGGAAAACTGGGGTGGGGGGGATCTGCTATCCACTGTTTTCCCTGGCCCACGGTGCTGCAAGGTTTCTTTCATTTGCTCTGACATGTAGCAATATTCTTAAGTGATTGAAAATAGACACTATTTAGTCATTTTGTGGGCTTCCTACAAACCAGGAGAGGGTTCCTTCTGTTTGCAGTGCACTGTGGCTTTTCCTTTATACCAGCTGCTTAGGAGTAATTACTTTACACATTTATAATAAGCTGGCTGCATTTAGGAAAAAACAACACAGGGAAGAAGCAGGGATTTGAACAGGATATTCAGCAACAGCTGTGGAGAAAATTAGTCAAGCTTTTGCTGCTGGAATTTTGTAGGGAGAAGAAAGAATGAGCAGCAGGAGTGAGAGGGCTGCTGAAAACTGGCCATGCACCTTAAAAGACCGAACAGCTTTTAGCAGCTGCCCACTGTCTGCAGAGATGAAACGGAAGGAGGACGGCAAGATGCTGCAGTCAAATCGTCAGCAAGGAAGGGAATAGCCCCAGTTCTGCACATAGGGAATCACCATGTTTTTTGAACAGTTTTTTTGTTTTTTTTTTCCCTGTTTACTTCGCAATCTCCGCAGTTGCTGCAGGCCGGCGCACGTAGGTGCTCGTGTTTTCGCGAGCTGCCCTCGCCGCTGGTTAATCTGCAGCCTGCTGCCCTCTGGACTCCCCGGCTCCCGCTGGCAGCTATTGATCCGGCTCCGAAGCTGATGCAAGCGCCTGCCAGATAACGCGGGCGTCGTGGGGCCTCCCAAAGCCCCCGTGCAGCAGGGTGCTGTGCAGGGCCCGCGGCAGAACCGCCTCGACA